AGCTATAGCCTGAGCTTCAGCTCTGAGGGGGTTGCCAGAGTGGCTCTGCCAGGGAAAGGGAGGGAGGTTGCTTTCAAATTTCCAACGGCCTCTGGCACAACCCGCCAGCCTCCCTAAAACCTGCATAAAATTCCATATCCGTCGATCTTCCCGCGCAAGGCGGCCCCAAGGATGTCTCTAAGAAGGCCAAGAAAGCCAAAATGGTGTCCAAGATGGATCAGATTCCCCCAAGAGGTCCCCAAGACGTCTCCAAGACGGCCCAAGATGCATCCGTGACGGCTCACTATGGGCCCAAGATGGCCCAAGACGGACCCAGAGGCCCCCAGGAGGCCTCCAAGAGGACCTCAAGGCCCAAAGGGTCCAAAATCATTAAGCTTCCACGAGGGTTTTCGAAGAATTTGGGCATGTGCTCCTTCTCGGCCTTCTGACGGCCCAAGACGGCTCAGGAAGCACCCAAGATCGCCCCAAGAGCACCCAAGAGGATTCCAAGATGGCCCCCCTAACGGCCCAGACGGCTCCCGAGACAGCCCCAAGAGGGCCCCAAGACGGCCCAGGAGACTTCCAAGACGCCCAAGATGGCCTCCCAGAGAGCCCTGAAGCGCCCCAGGAGGGCCCCAAGTCGACCCAGAGAGGCCCCCAAGACGGCATCCTCCGACGGCGCCAGACGGGCCAGGAACGCCCAAGATAAGCAGAAATTGCACAACGCCCGCCGCCAAGAGGCCAGACCTCCAAAAGGCCCCCAAGAGGCGCCCATGAGGCCCCGAGAGTGCCCCACAAGCTTCCAAGAGGCCTCCTCCTCCTCCTCTTCCTCCTCCTCCTCCTCCTCCTCCTCCTCCTCCTCTCCTCCTCCTCCTCCTCTTTCTCCTCCTCCTCCTCCTCCTCCTCCTCCTCCTCCTCCTCCTCCTCCTCCTCCTCCTCCTCCTCCTCCTCCTCCTCCTCCTCCTACCTCCTCCTCCTCCTCCTCCTCCTCCTCCTCCTCCTCCTCCTCCTCCTCCTCCTCCTCCTCCTCCTCCTCCTCCTCCTTCTCCCCCCCCTCCTCCTCTTTCCTCCCTCTCGTCCTCTACAGCGGCTGGGGGGAACGCACAGTCCGACAGCCACAACGTTCGGCCACACAGGCGCTTCCAAAAGGCAGGGGGCGGCGGTAATTCGCTGTAGGCATCTTCGATTGAAGAGAGCGCAGGCGTCACCAGGATCGCGCACATCGCGAGCCCAGCGAAAAGAGGTCTGCCTATCTCTCTCTATATATATATATATATGCACAACCCGTTTACAATGAAAACCATGTAAGTATACCGCTCTCCCTTTCTATGAACACGAACCACATCGGGACAACGATGGAACAACAACGAACAACAATGCGACAACTAGGGGACAACCATTGCACCACGGCAGGACAATCACGAGACAACCACGGGACAACCACGAGACAAATCTTAACTGTAAACCGATCGAGCTCATCATCGACCTATATGATATGGGTCTCAATATCTAGCGGTCTCAATCCCCACCGATCTCACTATCAATGCGGAAAACCATCGGCTCAAACCGATCGGCCAGTCCCACAATTTATCTATAGATCTAGATCAAGACGCAGCAACCACAAAAAACCTCGACACAACCACGGGACAGAAACGCGACAATCACGGAACAACCACGGGACAACCGCGGGACAACCACAGAACACCCCGAGGACAACCACGGGACAACCGCGGGACAAAAACGGAACAAACACGGGACAACCACGAGATAACCATTGGGACAACCGCGGGAGAACCACGGAACACCCCCAGGACAGCGTCGGGCAAACCATGGGACCACCACAGGACAATCGCGGGGGAACCAAAAAGCAGCCACAACCACGGGACAACCACTGGAACAACCGTGGGAACAAACGTGGGATAACCCCGCGAACGCCCTGGCGGGTGGGGGAGCGACTCGTGTTGACGTGACCTAGGCCACGCTAGCGCAGGAACTCGCGAAACTTCGCCTCGCCCGCACGCACGTCACGCACGACCATCATCGAGACCGAAACCGGCTTCCCAGTTGGGGGGGCTCCGTTACACTCTGGTCCCACCCACCCACCCCACATCCGACAAAGCGCAAAAAAAACTCCACCCCCGCAAGAAGCCCACGAACAACAAACCTCCAGGTGTCGGCGTGCCCAGGGCAGCCTGCGGCCAGGAGCGATAAACGGCGCCGAGAGAGCAGAGAAGGGCTACAGATTCCAGCGCCCACACGCCTGTGCGTCGGTGTGGTGATGGCTATACGGCGCCACTGAATTCCCCGTTGGGAGGAGGTGGAGGAGATGAAAGAGGAACAGCAGAGAGCTGGCTGCGCCAAGCCACCGGGAACAGCCCGCAGGTCAACTGCCGCGGGCGGGCCCGTAGATGGAACCATGGCTTGGGAGAGCGTACAGCGCTGTCGTGCTATACCCTAGGAGATCCAAACGGCAAAATGTACAGATCCAGCATACGATAAATATCAGTGCAGTCGCGCAAAGTATAGAAAACACTGCCCGCTTCTGTCGCCCCAGAGACAGTGCCCGAGGAGGGAGGAAATACAGAGGAAGGCATCACAGGTCGGAAAGCAGGTAAAAGAACATGTGGAAGTAGTAGCCGTCTCCTCCAGCAAAGCAAAGGTGCACGAGTAAACCAGTGCCCCACACGCACTGGTAAGAGAGGTACAGCAAAGTGGGCGCGCCGCACTGAGCCATACCTCAGTCGCAAGAGTATCCCCCCAAACTCATGTCGCGCCGCCAACGGCAACACGTCGCCGCCACCCCCGTCTCTTCCTCCCCCGCGGCCTCCACCTCACAACCGGCTCAGCCCATGGCGGCACCCCTCCGTCGCCGCCGCCTCCTCAACCTCCAGGGCCTCGAAGGACGCGAGCGCCGTCTCCGCCGCCTCCTCAACCTCCAGGGCCTCGAAGGACGCGAGCGCCATTTCCGCCGCGAGCACAGCGGCTGCCAGGTCGCTGGCAGCCCCCTCCACCGCCGCCGCCTCCTCAACCTCCAGGGCCTCGAAGGACGCGAGCGCCGTCTCCGCCGCGAGCACGGCGGCTGCCAAGCCGCCGGCAGCGCCCGCCGCCGCCTCCCAGATAGGAACAATGAAAAGCTGCACCACCATCACCAGGGACCAACAGCAGGAGGAGCCAGGGGGCGTCCCCCAGGTGGTGTGGTCCCCCTCTCTCGCTCGAGACATCCCCTATCCCCAGCTCGGGGAAGCATCGTGAACCTCCTCGCTGGCGGTAGCCCCCCCAGAGATGGTGGCGGTGATGGTGGTGGTGGTGGTGGTGGTGGTGGTGGTGGTGGTGGTGGTGGTGGTGGTGGTGGTGGTGGTGGTGGTGGTGGTGGTGGTGGTGGTGGTGGGTGGTGGTGTGTGGGGTGGTGGTGTGGTGATGGTGGTGTGGTGGTGGTGGTGGTGGTGGTGGCTGGTGGTGGTGGTGGTGGTGGTGGTGGTGGTGGTGGTGGCGGTGGTGGTGGTGGTGGTGTCGCTTCTCCTTCCCGACCTTAGCCTCAAGCGCCTCAAAGGACGGAAGCGCCGTCTCTGCTGCGAGCACGGCGGCTGGCATCAACCCATGGCGGCACCCCTCCGTCGCCGCCGCCTCCTCAGCCTCAAGGGCCTCAAAGGACGCGAGCGCCGTCTCCGCCGCCAACATGGCGGCTGCCATCGGCGCATGGCGGCACCCCTCCGTCGCCGCCGCCGTAACCTCCGGGGCCTCGAAGGACGCGAGCGCCGTCTCCACCGCGGCAGCGCCCAGACCCGCCATCGCGGCATGGGGCGCCAGGCGCGGCTCGGCGCGGAAGAGCTCCATGGGTCCTGGCAGCAGGTGCTGATGGGGTCGTGGGCGCAGCCTGTGGCCTCGCTGGGGCGTGGGCCAGAGGCTGCGGAGCGCCCCGTCTGCGGGCCTCCCCCATCCGTGCTGGAGGCCCCCAAGAGGAGGAGGAGGAGGAGGAGGAGGAGGAGGAGGAGGAGGAGGAGGAGGAGGAGGTGAAGGAGAGGGAGAAGGAGAAGTAGAAGGACAAGGACAAGGACAAGGAGAAGGAGAAGGAAGAGGAGGAGGAGGAGGAGGACAAGGAGGGGGAAGAGGAGGAGGAAGAAGAGGAGACCTCTTGGGGCTCTCTTGGGGATCCTGGGGGCTTCGTGGGAGCCTCTCGGGAGCCTCTGAGGGGTCTTGGGGCTCCCCTGGGGCCTCAGCTCGTAGATCCCTGCGCTCTTGAGCGCTCCTGGGGCTCCCCGCGTCCCCGCCTCCCCGCCTCCCCAGTTTGTCGGGCTTCCGACCGCCCAAGACGGCCCAGGATGCTCCCAATACCCCCCAAAGACGGCAAAACAGGCCCCCAAGAGGGCCCCAAGGCGGCCCAGGAGACCTCCAAGACGGCACCAAGAGGGGCCCAGTAGGAGCTCGAACTGGCCTTCGGAGCCCTCTATGGCTGCAAGTGTTCCCCCAAGGGCTTCCAGAACGGCTGGGGAAACACATTGTCCAACAGCTTAGAGTGTGGCCCCACGTTTGGCCAAATCGGCATTTCCAGAAAGGCAGGGGGCGGCGGTGATTCGCCGCCGACGCCTGCGATACAAGGAAGCCGGGAACACACATGGCTGGATTCACATGCGGAACATTCCGAGGCCAGGCGCTGGATACACATGCAGATGCCCGGCCGAGAGCCGAGCGCTGGAAAGACATCTGGCCACACGTGTGTCCGGCTCTCGCCCGGGCCGGCCTCGTCACGTGCATCCGGCTTCCTGGCAATGTCCTGGGAGAGCTCCAGAAAGCACGCCACCACCAGCCCTGGCCAGGTCCATCCTGGGCCCTGGACTGGTGGACAGGCCCTCCTGGCGGTCTCTACACCAGTCCGGGGCACAGGATGGGCCTGGCCAGGGCTGGTGGTGGTGCAATGCTGGTCTCCCTCCGAACCTCCATCTCCCGAGCCCTGCCTTCTGCTGCGGGCGGCCACTTGTCGAGTTCCCCCCTCGATGTCACAAGCGGCGGGCAGGCCAGCGGGCCTCGGGGAGCTCGTCGGCCGCCACCGGACCGAGCGGCGCCTGCACCACGGCCTGGCGGCCAAAGCAAGGATCGCGGAGTGCTTGCCCCCTCCTCCTCCTCCTCCTCCTCCTCCTCCTCCTCCTCCTCCTCCTCCTCCTCCTCCTCCTCCTCCTCCTCCTCCTCCTCCTACACCTACAGCTACACCCCCACTGCACGGGCCAATCCTGGGGCCAGGATGGGCCTGGCCAGGGTCGGTGTAGGTGTACAGCTGGCGTCCTCCGAAAATGCGCGACACGCGATTATATTCGCGTTCTCTCGCCGCCCCGCCCCGAGGCGCGGTTGCCGTCGCGCCCCAGCGAGCGACCCAGAAAAACATCAGGAAGAGCAGCGGGATAAAAGCAGCCAAGAGTACGCAGGCGGAGGAGTGGAAGAAGGATGGCGCAGACGCTGCAGACCACGCATCCCTTCCGCTTGCGAGGGAAGACACGAAGAGGACGGCGACGGCGAGAAAGACACGGTGGAAAACGAGTTGCTCAGGAGGAGAGGGAGAAAGGGGAGAGGGCGAGAAGGGTGAGTAGGAGCACGAAAGACGTGTGCATGTCACGAGTCGCGCTTGCCCGATACAGCGCTGTGCAGCGTTCGGTGAGCGTCAGGCTCTTCACTTGTTCAGTCGGTTGCACCTCTCGCGAAGCTATGATCAGGACCCACCGACGCGGCGAGCCCCAAATGTGTCAGCTTTTTGCCCCGATTCCATGCGGCTGACGACAACACAAAAACCTCTGGCAGGACCCCTGGCGCCGTTCCCCACCACACCCCCTGGAGACAGGAGACTGAAGACTACGGCTGTGTCGTCCCAGAGGGACGGCCCTACGCGGGGCTAGGCTGTGGCGCCGGGGCGCCGGCATCACTCGATCGTCGCATATCATACTCTGGCCAATGCAGTCAATATCCTGTGGTTGTGTCGCTGTGGTTGTGCCACCCCCTGCTCCACCCAAGCACGGCGATGGTTGTGTCTCCCTCTCTGTGTTTGTGCCTCCCGTTCTCATGGCAGCACGGCGGTGGACACGCACGGCAGCGCAGCTGATTGCACACGTGCAGTCACCACCCCTTTCGCCTGCCCCTCCCTCCGACGGGGACTGCCCGAGGTGCACACGGCTGAGCTAGCAGCCCGCCCGAAGGAGAATCCGCCGACTCCCGCTTGCCTGGGGCGAAAGGGCGCGTGAGATGTCTGGCTGCTCCCCTCCCCCATGGGTCCCCCCCCACCAGTGTCCAAAATCCTGTTTAAGAAGGGGGGAGGGGGGAACAAGCTCGTCAGCGAACATCGCGGGCCGATCGGCCTCTCCTAAACGGCCCACGGACCGTTCAAGCCCCCACGCTGGCTGCAACGTGGCCCAGCGTGGCCAAGGTTGCCCCTGAAAGCCCGGAAGATGGCGCCAAGATCGCCCGAGGAGGCCAGCAGAGACTCCAAGATCGCGCTGGACCCCAAGATCCACAAGTCATGGCAACCGCTTGAGTGTTCCCCCTTCTGCTGCTGGCACGCTTTTCGGCCCATCATGGCCCTAAGTTTGCCTCCAGGTCTCAGGGAAGGACCCAGAAACCCTCTAGAGATTACAAGACGGCGACCCAGAATGCCTCCTCCTCCTCCTCCTCCTCCTCCTCCTCCTCCTCCTCCTCCTCCTCCTCCTCCTCCTCCTCCTCCTCCTCCTCCTCTCTCCTCCTCCTCCTCCTCCTCCTCCTCCTCCTCCTCCTCCTCCTCCTCCTCCTCCTCCTCCTCCTCCTCCCCTCCTCCTCCTCCTCCTCCTCCTCCTCCTCCTCCTCCTCCTCCTCTCCTCCTCCTCCTCCTCCTCCTCCCTCCTCCTCCTCCTCCTCCTCCTCCTCCTCCTCCTCCTCCTCCTCCTCCTCCTCCTCCTCCTCCTCCTCCTCCTCCTCCTCCTCCTCCTCCTCCTCCTCCTCCTCCTCCTCCTCCTCCCCCTCCTCCTCCCTCCCCTCCCCTCCCCTCCCCTCCCCTCCCCTCCCCTCCCCTCCCCTCCCCTCCCCTCCCCTCCCCTCCCCTCCCCTCCCCTCCCCCCCCCCCGATCCCCAACGACAGGGCCTGGACCTCGTCTGGCGCGGTCAGGGCCGGGACGGGGACGTCGCTCCCGGGCTCGTGCCCGAACTCGGGGCTGGCCGGCGGGGGCCCTCTCCAGAGCCACACCTGGGGAAGCGGGAGCAGGAGGAGCGGGAAGTGGAGCAGGAGCAGGAGCAGGAGCAGGAGCAGAGTCAAGCAGCAGGAGCAGGAGGAGGGGGCGGCACAGGAGCAGGAGGAGGAGGACAGAGAGAGGAGCAGGAGGAGGGCGAAAGGAGGTGGCAGGGAGTGGGGAAGAAGGTCACTCCTCCCTTCTCCTCCTCCTCCTCCTCCTCCTCCTGCACCTTCTCCTCCTCCTCCTCCCTCCTCCCTCCTTCCCTCCCTTCCTCGCTCCCTCCCTCCCTCCCTCCTCCCTGCTCCCTCCTCCCTCCTCCCTCCTCCCTTCTCCATCATTCATCCCCCCTCCTCTCTCCCTCCTCCCTCCTCCCTCCTCCCGCCTCCCTCCTCCCTCCTCCATCCTCCCTTCTTTCGATATGGTATTCGTGCGGCGTCGGCGCACGCAAAGTTTTTGACACCGCCTCGATCGTTCAACCTTGAAACGATCGCGGCCCCGATCGCTCAAGATTGAATTCCGTCGGGTCCTGTGGCGTTCCCGTGCCCCTCAGTGCTTCTGCGTCGTTCTATCATGCGGAGCTCAACTTTGGACGCCTTCGCTGGAGTCGCTGGCACGCCGTTTCCGCATGAACCTACCATAAGGACTCCATACGGCTCGAAGTTACTATCGTCGAGCTTCGCCCGCGGCGTCTGCCAAGGCGCTGCAGAAAAAAATCATGGCAACCGTGACGTCCATTTGCATGCAAAGATACACTTTAAGGACAGCCTTGTGCTGCCCACCCAGCTACGGTACGTTTGTGGATGCCATGACAATGGACACTCTAACAAGCCTATCACTGAATTAGAAATGTGCTTAAAATGTGTAAAGGATGATCTACAAATTTGTTAAACATGCTTTTACGCATTCAAAACATGTTTGAAACATATGTTCGACATCTGGAAATTATTTGGCGGCACGCTTCCTCTCCATTCATCGACGTCCACAACGGTAGGTTCGCGCGGCGTTGTCGCGCGCAAAGGTTTTTGACACCGCGTCGACCGTTCAAAGTTGAACCGATCGCGGCCCCAAACGTTCAAGGTTGAAGTCCATGGGGTCATGTGGCTCTATCGTGTCCCCCAGTGCTTCCGCGTCGTTCTATCATGCGGAACTCGATCTTGAACGCCTTCGCCAGCGTTGCTGGCGCGCCATCGCCGCATGAACCTACCGCATCTAATGGCGGTGTCTGGCTTTGCATATCTTCGCCGGTGGAAGATTACGTGCATTCTGGCGTCATGCGACCTTACTGCGCGACTGCGATGGGTTTTCTGCCGAGTACAATACAGCACGTCACGGGCGCGAGCGTCTTGGCGCAGGTCGGTAAGCCGCGGACCATGCGACTATTACTGGTCCAACGCTTCCGGCGTTTCGCTGTTCTTTTGCGAGGTGCGCCGCCTGCCGTGTTTGCACTTCTCGGTCGCCTTTTCCCGCTGAGGGAGGCCCTGGGTCAGCAATTACAGCTTGACAAGTCGACTTCTTGGGCCCACCTCTTGGATGACGTACCTGCCTTGGCTGTGTCCGACCCGCGCGACCTGCCTGTTCTCCCTCATGGGCTCCGTTGTTGGGAACAGCTTATGCAGAATCCCCCGGTGTGGTGGAGACGTTTCCCCCGAGCGGGCTTGGGAGCTGACTCGGCGCATCAGGACAGGATCCGTCAGGCCGCTTCTGCTCAGAGTGCGATATTCCAAAAAACCTTTCCGCCGCCAGCGTGCCGCCTCCTCGGTAACCCCCGAAGCGCCACGAGTGCTCCCGTCCTGCCTTCTTGGATGTCGCGTGGTGCAGCTGTACCGGCACAGGCGTGCCCCTTGCGCAGGCAGCCTTTCAGATAGAGCACCAGGCTCAGGTCGGGCCTGTCCCCTACAGGGGGATTTTGTGCAAAAAATGAAAAATACCCTTGAAATATTTTAAAAATGCTCAAACACGGTCCAAAAAAATCGTCCCCAGACTATTTGTTTATACTATTTTTGAATATTTCCCCTGTAGAGGGACAAGCCCGATTTAACACCAGGCCTTGGCAAGCACACTTCCCCAGTACGCCGTCGACATTCCCAAGTGGCGCGACGTTGGGCCCAGACCCTGCCGCAATGCCGAGCATGCTCTCGCGTCTTTCATAATTCTGGCGGCGCGCACGAGGAGGTGGAGGGAGGGGGGAAGGCTTGTTGGAACGCCCCCAACACGCACCCGTGAGGCTGACTGGGGCCTTTGCACGGCCACCGCGCGGGAGGCTCGACAGTTGACCATCGGCAACACGCTCCTGACCGCGCTGGTCATCTTACCTGCCCAGCATGCCAAGGATGGCACCAGCGGTTGGATGGAGCACCCCAAGCCTTGTGAATGGGAAGCGCGTGCTCCATCTGCGTTGCCGAGTCTGGCCCCGTCAAGGCAGCCAGCTCTAATTGCATCGACCCCGATGGTTCCAATCAGATCGGGACAGTGGCTTTCGTCCAGCCCGCATCGTGGAGGAGCGGGGCCCGGTCCGATGCAGCGCCGGCAGCGCGCCAAAACCGGTCTGCCTGGACCCCGGCGGCGTCGGCTCGAGCAGAGCCGCCCTTTCCTCGGGATGCCCCGTCCTGGGCGGCGAGACCGAACGCCGTCGCGCGCAGCCTGGGACCCCGCAGGACGCGATCGACCCTGACGTCTGGGCGGACGCGGGCAACCATCGCTGGCAGCGCCAGCCTTCGGCAGAGCCATCCTTCAAGCGGCGGCGGGCACGCTGCCCTGCACCCTGCAAAAGTCCCAACGCCAAACAGAGCTGGCCAGCACACCTGGCATGCCAGAGAGACCGCGTGGACCCCTCGCGGGCGCCGTCTACGGAAGCTGGCTGGAGACTCAAGAACAGGACTGAGCTCAACTCTCTCGGGAAATCGCGCGGCGAGGAGGCACGAGATCCTCCTCCTCCTCCTCCTCCTCCTCCTCCTCATCATCATCATCCTCCTCCTCCTCCGCCTCCACGAAGCAAATACCCCAGGACTCCTTTGCACGCCCTGCTTTACGATGACAGGAGGCTCCGAGGGCATGGGCAAGACCCCGAATGATTTCGATGTCGCAGTAGAGGCCGAACCCAAGGTGACGACTGAGTTGAGCCTGAAGAGCGGAGGGAAGAAGGCAACAATCGAAGAGGGTGCGAGAGGAACCTGGAGCGAGAAACCAATGACTAAACGCACGGACCAAAATACTGCAGAAAAGGAGGAAAACCAACAACATCAGCCAGTCGGAAACAGAGCCGGGCATGCGATCGCAGGCGTGTAAGCACATCCCGAGGGACTCAAGACGAGGATGAGAAACCCGTTACATCGCCCACTTCGCCATCAAGGTGGGCATGAGACCGTCTGCAAGGAAAAGGAGACCTGAGATGAGTCGGAAGTCATTCCATACGGCAAACGGTACAAACAATGAATATCAAACGGAAGCGCGCACTAACGAATCACATCGAGAACGCATTTGGCAACTAATTGAAAAATACTCTTGTCGGGGGCGACTGCCAGGTTCTGACATTTGAACTCGCGCCCGATTACATAAATCGGAAATAATTGCGATGAAATCGGCACTGTCTGACATTAGTCTCTCTCTCTCTCTCTCATTAGGATCGAGAGGTTGACGGCCAGTCGCATTCATCTCTGCAACCACCATCTTGCCCACCACACTCTGGTCCAAGTCATATTCTCCAGGAAACATACTCAGAGCATCATGCTGGTAGTCGGAGAAATCGAAATTGCACAATTGATCAACGATCTGGATGACCTCGCTGAGCTTCTTGGGCTTCAGGGCGAGAATCACCTTCTGAGTCTGGACGCCTAACCTTTTCTGGGTACCCAGACCTGGAAAATCGATGACGCAGTCGCGACGGTGCTCAAACCACACCTTCGAACCTTCCTTCGTGTAACATGCGTTTGGCCCGGCACGTGGGACAGAACACGGCCATACAAATATATTGCGACTGATAGATCTCACTCCTGAACGCAGCACAGTCACTCATACGCTCCGTATCCGATTCATCCAAACAACCCGATAAAGGACTGAATGCGTCACCTTCCTGGAGGGCTTCGGGTGCCTCCACTGGAGGTTCCAAGCCTGCAGCCTGTGAAGACATGCCTCGGTCTCCCCGCTCGAGAATGGGAATACGTTGCCGCGGCTCGGGCTGCGCGAGGTCCGAAGGCGACGGCGGCGGCTTGCGAAATCTGGTTCGGCTGCGGCTCCTGTGTACCGTTTGACAAGGCTTCGCACGCGACTCGAAGCAGAACTCTTTGTGCCCCTTGTCCATATCGAAGTCCGTCTCACGAGCAGACAGTAGGAGACCTGGAACGAGGCTGACAGAACTCAGAACTGCAATCAGAGTCGGACTCGTCGGATTGGATACAGCAGCTTCAACCCGTCTCGGCAGTGCAGGCGGCGTCGGACGTTGAGCACAACCTCGAAAAGGCTGGGAGCCGACCCAGGGGCGATTTTGTCGAAGACGCGCATATCGTCCGCCATGGTGGGAATTGACCACCGCCTCTCAAAAGCCCAGTCGCCCTACGCAGCCGAATACACACACAGACACACACACACACACATACATACAAAACACCGACAATCTTCATTTGCCAGGCCGATTAAAATAACTGTCAAAGAGACGACTGCGCTGCTCAGGAGCAAGAGATCCGATGCGAATTTTTGGGTATCTGCAGATCTAGAAACAAGCCTGTGCGAACACTGGCATAGCCGCTAAAGCCAACTGAGATTGGACCGGGATGCTCTTGGGGAGGGGAAGGCTGCCCAACCAGGTTGACGGTTCAGCCGCAAGTCCCTGGAACAGCTCTTTGCCACGGGATCCATCTGGAGAAAATGGGTGGTTCAATCATACATGTCATCGCTGAAAACATGGCGTCTGACTGGAGCCCACAGAGGAGGGGGAAAAATGATTCTGCGAGACCTTACATGTAAAAATGGAGTGGAGCTGGTAAGGGAGGGAATCAGGGTGTCAGTGGATGTGAGAAAGCCAAGATCGAGCGGATATGAGCTGAACACTGGCTAACGAAGGCGGTACAAACCTTCTTTTTGTCCCATTACGTTTCAGATATCGATGTCGGGTGTTTCATTCGGAGCACCTTGTTCCCGCAACATCATGTTCTAATGTTTGTTTGGGGACGTTGTTAATACTTCGACAGTGCTGCGGCACGGGAGCCAGGCAGCACCCTTGGGTCGCATGATACCAACCACCATTGCGCTCGGACAAGGAATCCGTTGTTGTCCATGCGGATGTTCCTGTTAAGCAGGACCTTCCCGTTGACCCAGAAGGCTTTGGAAATCTAACGGAAACCCCGC